CCGGCTGGACGTGGCCAAGCAAACGCGCCGCGTGGGGACTGCTCAAAATCGCAAATCCTGTTACCCAGACCCCCTAGAGGATCCAAAAAATGGAACCCCTCAATAATCCCCTAGGTTCCCCAATGTAGTAATGGGGGTGATTTTGGGGGTTCCATTTTTTTGGATCCTTTAGGGGGGTCTGGGCACCAACAATAGAATCAACCAGCTATACGGCTGCCTCACAGGAGACATGTACCGACCACAAGGAACGCAAGACATCACGCCAAACCTAGTTTGCCTAGTCCCTCCATTATAAGCGCTAAACCCAAATCCCCAGACTATGTTCCCTTAACTACAATCCCAAAATTGTAATCCCCAAACCCTTCATCAATGTCCAGAAAGCCCAAACCTCTGACCTGGCAGCTCTCAATTGCCACACATAAAAATTGACGCAAAACCGTACCAAAATTCCCAATATGATGCAACTATATGCTGGTGAACATTTATCATTACGCGGTGGGGCGGGGATCGATCGCCCTTCACTCATGCAGTGCCCATTAGTCCAAATTTACACTCTTCTTATTGAGGATCTGCGAAGATTCCAGTAGCAAATGCATAAGGTTCACAAATTCCTCACTTTGAAAGTATCAACTAGGTATGCATATTCCGTGACACTCCTGTTATCTAGAATGATAATGACAAGGGACTGTGGGATATGACCTGATTACAAATTAAGTGTTGCCATAAAGGACGACTTACCCCAAACCCCAAAACGCTAAACCCGAAACCCTGAACCGTAGACCCCAAACCCTAAGCCCTAAACCGACTGTAAACCCTAAACCATGATCCCAAACCCTAGACCCTAAATCTCTCACAGCCAACCTCATCCCGCCCGGGCCCCGCGCTGCTGAGGGTTCACCCGTGTATTGCGTGCCTCTCATACTGAGCCACAGCAAGAGCGAATGGGGGAATGGGTTGTAGGTTTAGGCTTCAATTTAGGATTTTTGGTGAATTGGATGCATTTCTTTGAGACAGAACTTAGCGAAGGCTCTACACTGTAAAATGGGCATGGGAACAGGGCCCTTACATAGACTACTCTCACTGAAAAGGGGCTATATGAGGTTTCATGTTCGTTTGGGAGGGTACAAGGCCTGCGTACCTTCGATCTGTTTACCAGGATCTCCAAATTTACTGACAAGATGGCTCTCAGGTAAGTTACAACTGGTCAGATGATGTCATCCTGCCCCCTATCCATGCTTAGGGTTTAGGGTTGAGGGTTAGGGTCATCCTACCCCCTGTCCAGAATCTAGCTACGTTCATCAGCAAAAAATCACCTGCCAGGAAAAAACACACCTCCAAACCCAGACCCTCACACACACCCCTGAGCATGAACCTTCCCCGTAGACTGCCACAGAGGAATGTTCAATGAAAGGTGGTTCTTACGGGAGGGGGATCCACACCACTGGTGTGCCTCCTGTTGGAGATCAAGGCAGGTGCAGCTGGATGCGTGCACACCCTTAAACTAGGAGGAACGTCAGCTTAGTCAAGTGGGCATGCAGCGCCAGGTAGAACGCTTCTCTAAAACTAGGATAGCGGAATCCGCCGTTTGCAGCCGAGGGTTGTTGGGGGCGACTACGACTTAAAGGCAGGACATTGGATTTAATTTCTTCCACATCTTCCAGCAGCCCTAACCCGCGCGCCTTGGCGTTTGCCACCAGAACTTTCTCCACCATGCCATACTTGGAGTAGTGCAGCCACAATGCCTGCACATGACGGATCAAGGCTTGGGGATTAGGCTTTCGGGTGTAGGGCTTACAAACAAAAATACCATATAATATAGGGTTATATGGGGTTACATTGGGGATATATAGGGATAATGGAAAAGAAAATGGAAACTACTATGATATAATAGGGTATATAAGCAAGCATAAGCTAACCCCACATCTTACATCCTATACCCACCCCCTACGCTTTCACCCCATTTCT